CCTAATGATACATCCACTCAAGTTTTCTTTGTGTGTGTGTGTGTGTGTGTGTGTGTGTGTATGTGTGTGTGTGTTTGGTGTATGTCAGTGTGAGTACTGGGGCTTGAACTCAGGGCCTAGGCATTGTTCCTTAGCTTCTTTACTCAAGGCTGGTGTTTTAGGGGGCTGGGAAGGTGGCTCAGTGGTAGAGTGCTTGCCTTGCATGCATGAGGCCCTGGGTTCGATTCTTCAGCACCACATAAGCAGAAAAAGCTGGAAGTGGTGCTGTGGCTCAAGTGGTAGCAGGCACCATGATTGGCAAAAAAAAAAAAAAAATCAAGGCTGGTGTTTTACCACATGTGCCACAGCTCTACTTGCAGCTTTTGGCTGGTTAATAAGAGATAATTGTCTCCTGGACTTTCCTGCCCACCCTGGCTTTGAAGCCTGATCCTCCTCAGATCTCAGGCCTCTAGACTAGCTAGGACGACAAGTGTGAGCCCCCAGCGCCTGGATTCCCACCCACACCTGAGCCCGGTGCCTACTGCTGGACGGTGCTTGCTTCAGGCAAGCCGGGACATGAGGAACTTGAGCTCTAGACCTGGCTGTTCCACACTTCCAGGCTATTTGCCAATGAGGAGGGAGCCTCTCTGATCCTCATCTTTGACAGGGGAGCCTGAGGGTAAGCACAGGCTTTGTCCTCAACCCACCTGGGCCTCCTGCAGCTTGACTTCCAGATCAGCCATGTCCAGGTGACGGTACCGATACTTGTGGGCCTTGCACAATCGAATGCCATCGATGATGGAGGCATGGTTCAGCTCGTCTGACAGGACTGCATCCTCGGGGGTCAGCAGAGCCTGGAGGGAGGCAGTGATGGTCCAGCCACCCCCACGTCCCCTATGAGGACTTCCTGAGTCCCAGATCCCACTGCCAGCCAGGACAGGGAAGCAAGGTGCCGCTCCCTTCCACCTGGCTCACCAGGCCCCAGCACCGGGCTGGATGGGTGATAGGAGGAAGAGACATCAGGTAGTCCCAGGTGTTCCCAGCCTTCCTGCGGAGCTAGTTATCCCCAAACTCCCCGGAAGCTGGGCTCCTCACAAGCCCCAGCCTTCTTTGGCCAACTTCACCCAACCTCTATACAGAAAGGATATTGGAGCCTCCAGGGGTGGCACCAGCCTGAGACCAGACTCTCCTGACTGCCTACCCCCAAGCGCTCCAGGGCACCACATACCTCAAAGAAACCGGCGTTGGCATCAAAACAGCTGGGGAAAAGGATGGCTGCCTCCCGCTTGTGAAAGTGGGCTAACTTGGCTTCTAGATTCTTGTGGATGGTCTAAAGGAAGTATGTGAGACAGGTAGGTGTTAAAGCCTAGGGTGGGGGGGTGGGCAGGGAGGGAAGGGGGCCACAGATGACCAGAAAGTCTACAGCCTCAGCCATACGTTACCCTAGGCCTCAGGAGTCTGGTTGATCTCCCAGTGAGGCGTTCTGGGCTTGGTCTATGGAATTACAAATGCCAATGGGGAAGATATACCTTCCTAATATCAGGCTAAGTGTTTCTTTTTGGGTTGTACTATAGCCTAAAAGAGGATCACCTAAACAATTCTGCACTCATTTGACCCTCTACTTGTTGAAAGCTGTTTGGTCTGGATGAGGTTTTTGTCCAAAAGTGTCTGATAGGAAGGGAGTTCTATCTGTGACGTTTATTGTACCTCATCATTCAGAGAGAAAAGAGGCAACACATGCAACAGGAGTAGGGTCTCCTCCCCTTCTTTTTTTGGTCCTGGGGCTTGAACTCTGGACCTGGGTACAGTCCCTTAGCTCTTCAGCTCAAGACTAGCACTCTACCACTTGAGTCACAGCACCACTTCTGGCTTTTTCTTTGTATGTGGTGCTGAGGAATCAAACCCAGGACCTCATGCATTCAAAGTAAGCACTCTACCACTGAGCCACCTTCCCAGAGCTTTTTTTTTTTTTTTTGATGCCTGTACTGGGATTTGAACTCAAGGCCTTGCACCCTTGCTGGGCTTTTAGCTCAAGGCTTGTACTCTACCATTTGTGAGCCACCAACACATGGCTTGAAGCAGAAGTGTTCTCGGCAAAGCCGGTCTTTCTGCCCCAGCCTTGCTACCCTTGTAGCTCTGGGGCTTAGAATGGGATTAGCTGATCTGGCTGAAGCACCCTGCGGACTGTGGGAAGCAGACAGCTGTGTACCTGAGTCCCACAGATGAAGCGGGTAGAGCTAAGGCCAGATCCAAAGTCCTTGAGAGCCTGCACACCTGCCTGGATCACCTCGGGGTGGCTGCTCAGGCCCAGGTAATTGTTGGCACAGAAGTTGAGGATTCCTGGGGTGTAAAAGAGGAATCATGTCAAACCTTTTCAAAATCTCCTTTCATTATCTTTCTACTTTTCTTTAATTTTTTTTTTTTTTTTTTTGGTCAGTCGTGGGGCTTGAACTCTGGGCCTGGGTGCTGTCCCTCAGCTCTTCAGCTCAAGGCGAGCGCTCTACCACTTGAGCTACAGCGCCACTTCCGGTTTTCTGGTGGTTTATTGGAGATAAGAGTCTCACGGTCTCTCCTGCCCCGGCAGGCTTTGAACCACAATCCTCAGATCTCAGCCTCCTGAGTAGCTAGGATTACAGGCATGAGCCACCAGCGCCCAGCACTTTAATTTTTTTTTAATTTTAATTTTTCTTTTGAAAAGGCTTGATTGCCAGAGGGCCAGGGGATGTGGAGGTGGAGGCAGCCGCCTGACCAAATGTGGCCAACAATGGTGGCCAATTTCTTCTAGAATCCAGCTATTCTGTTGTTGTTGTTGTTGTTGTTGTTTATGGCCAGTCCTAGAGTTTGAACTCAGGGTCTGGACACGGTGCTTGAGCTTCTTTTGCTCAAGGCTAGCACTCTACCACTTGAGCCACAGCACCACTTCTGGGGGTTTTTAAGCTATCCCCCACTTTCTTCTTTCTGTTTTTTTTTTTTGGGGGGGGGGAGGGCTCTCTTGTAAATAAGAGAATTATTGGCTTAAAACCATTCCGTTAGGGCTGGGAAGGTGGCTCAGTGGTAGAGTGCTTGCCTTGCACGCATGAGGCCCTGGGTTCCATTCCTCAGCACCACATAAACAAAAAGAAAAAAGCCAGAAGTGGCGCTGTGGCTCAAGTGGTAGAGCGCTAGCCTTGAGCTGAAGAGCTGAGGGACAGCGCCCAGGCCCAGAGTTCAGGCCCCACGGACCGGACCAAAAAAAAAAAACAAAAAAAAAAAAACAACAACAACATTCCTTTAGACTCTGTAAATAGTTCTCTCTCAGCTGGAGTGGGTGGGTGGAGTCATGGTGTAATGGTCCTTACATGGGGGCAGGGGTGAGGCAGGAGGGGGTGAGGAAGAGGTGGGTGGTCCAAAGTCCACTGTTTGTACTGAATGGCAAGAATGTTATAGTAAATGTGCACCAAAATGTGAATTACTTTGTACGATTACAGTCCTGTCTGTCCTCCCGGCCGGGCATCAACCACAACAGAATATTGGTGTTCGTGCGCTTTTCTTTTCTTTTTTGTCGGTCATAAGGCTTGAACTCTGGGCCTGGGCACTGTTTCTTAGCTCTTCAGCTCAAGGTGAGTTTTCTGGTGGTTCACTGGAAATAAGAGTCTCACAGACCTTCCTGCCCGGGCTGGCTTTGAACCATGATCCTCAGATCTCAGCCTTCTTCTTTTTTTTTTTTTGGTCTGGTCGTGGGGCCTGAACTCTGGGTCTGAGCGCTGTCTCTCAGCTCTTCAGCTCAAGGCTAGCGCTCTACCACTTGAGCCACAGCGCCACTTCAGGCTTTTTTTCTTTTTGCTTATGTGGTGCTGAGGAATCGAACCCAGGACCTCAGGCATGCAAGGCAAGCGCTCTACCACTGAGCCACCTTCCCAGCCCTCACTCCAGTTTTGTGGGGGTTTTTGATCTATCATTTGAACCACACACTCCTCTTCTAGCTTTTTGTTTCTTCATCGGATCATCTCCAATTAACACTCGAAGTCTTGGGGATTTGTCTGCCCAGACTGGCTTTAACCCAGGATGCCCAGATCTCAGTCTAGTGAGCTGCCAGGATTACCGCAGGCGCGAGCCGCAGCGAGGACTAGTTTAGATCTGGAACGGGATCTTCGCTTGCGGTTCTCTGGCCAGGTGACTTTTTGTCATGCATTCACAGGGCTGCGTCCCCGTCTACTCCCGGGAAAACCTCCCGCCCTGGAAACCGGTTTAACCGAGTACACCCCGGGGAGGCCGGCCGCGGGAGGAGGGCGGAGCGGCGCCCCCAGCTCCCGGCCGCTCCGGAGCCCGCGTTCCTGGGCGAGCCCCACGGACCCTCGGCCACCCGGCGGGGAGGGGAGTTACCTCCGGGGATGCCGTCCACGTGGATGTGCGAGCCCTGCGGGGAGGCGATGACACGCTCATCCTTCCACAACCCAGACCCGCGGATCCCCTCCAGCTCCGCCTCCAGGATGCCGCTCAGCTGCGCCAGCGCCGAGTGCGCGCGGCGTCCGCGGGGGGCCGCCGAGGCCGCCGCGCGCCAGAAGCCCACAGCCCACATCGCGCCAGCCGCCAGCAGACACCGCGGGACCCGTGCGCACTAAGAACTCGGGCTTTGCCCGTCACGTGGGGAGGCCGGGGCCGGGCGACCAATCAGCGCGAGGGGGGCCACCTTAGAGGGGCGGGGCGGCCCCTGGGTTGTGGGCGTGGCCGGGCGGTAGCTGCTGAAGACCGAAGGTGATTCGTAAGTGGAGACTGGAGGGGGGAGCCGAGGGGGCGGGGCGCGGCCGGCCCCGCCCCCCGCCCACAGACACCTTGGGAAAGAAACGGGGTGCCCCCTGGACACCAAAGGCAAGACGCCCGGAGAACGTCCCAACCCCCGGGTCCTTTTGTTTCCGTCTCCTCTCGGACCCCTCCCTCGGAGCTCAGGTGCAAGCTTGGGCCCCCACCCAGGATCTCCCCCAATTGTTTCACGTTCTCTTCTAGTTTAAAGGTGAGGGGAAAAAAACCACATCGCTCAGGGCTTCCTTTTCCAATTTTATTTTAAAGTTTTAAAATGACAACGACAGCAAATTCTTCCCGGCAGCACAAATAACACTTGTTTAAAAAGGGGAGGGAGGAAGAGTGCGCACTCTTCCTATTAAAAATAAGACAGACAACTGTACAGATTTTTTTCTCCCAGCTCCTGGTATGAGGCGTATGGATCGCCCTAGCTACGCTTATATACATATGGACACACATGCACCAGACCTAAAACTACGCAGCAAATTCCAACTACTTAAGTCCTATTCTCCCTGCCCCCCCCCAGTACTAGCAAAGACTCAGGAGTAAAAAGATCGGAGGCTTGTAAAGTAGCTGGGGCTGAAGCCTCAGCAGACCAAGCAAAGCCACCCCAAATACGGGAGGAGCAGACAAGAAAAAAAGTCTTCCTCTAGGATGCAATCCACCAAATGGGTGGAAAACCCCCAGTTTCAATAGGGCACACTGAGGCACTTGATTGACTGACTCCCTACCCTTACCCCACAAATTTCTACTACCACTTATCAAGAGACTTTGCATAAGTCACCGAAAGACCCCAGCCACACGGTGAGTTCCCAGCTGATTGGAAGAAGCTACAGCTTCTGCAGGGAGCGATGTTAATCCTCCTTCTCTCCCAAAGACAATAGGGAAGCCACAGGGCAGACTAACAAAAAGTGAGGAGGAAACAGGCCTGGACACCCCTGTTGTCAACCACTGCCAGGTGGCCAGTTTTTCACCCTTTCTCTCCCTGCTCCCCCACCAAAGGCAAACAGTCCCAGAGTGCCCAACTTGGAGCTCCTGGGCAGAACAAACCGCCTCGCCCATTCTCCTCCCCATCTGCCTTCACAGCAAACAAGCCACCCAGGAAAATCCAAAAGTCCAACCAAGTCCCTAACCCCAGAAGACTGACAGCAAATGTCCAGAACCAAATAGAAGTATATTCTCATCCTCGAGTTGAGATGTGTTGCTGCTCTTCTTGCATGACTGGCTTAAGGGAAAAAAAAAAAATTTGTCCACAATTTCTTGAGGCATCAGAATTGTGTCTTACACAGTCAGACTAGAATGGGCAAAGGGTTGCAGGTGAGGAGGATCAAGAGAGAAGAAAGGAGAAAGTATTTACAGAAAAGAGGAGAGAGGAAGGAGTGTCCGCAAGCGAGGGCTTGGCTGTCACTTCTTCTTGCCTGCCCTCTTGGCACTGGACTTGGCTTTGGGCTTCACTGGTCTGGCTTTCTTGGGCTTGGATGCTTTGACGGGTTTGGCTTTGACAACCTTGGGTTTTTTAGCTTTCTTGGGCGTGGCAGCCGGCTTCTTCTTGGCCTTCTTGACGGGGGTGACTTTGGGCTTCTTGCTGGAGGCTTTGGGAGCAGCCTTCTTGGGTTTGGTGGCCTTCTTTGGCGTGGCCACCTTCTTGACATCCTTCTTGGTCTTCTTGAAAGCCACTGACCTCTTGGGCTCGTCGCTCTTGGCTAGCCGGAAGGAGCCCGAGGCCCCCACCCCTTTGGTTTGCTTGAGGACACCGGTGGTGACCAGGCGCTTGATGGACAGCTTGATCTGGGAGTCGGCGTTCTCACCCACCTTGTAGTGGCTCTTGATGTACTTCTGGATGGACTGCCGCGAGGAGCCCGCGCGGTTCTTCTCCGCCTGGATGGCGGCCACGATCATGTCCGAATACTTGGGGTGGTCTGTGGACTTTTTGGAGGTCTTGGCCCGCTTGGGCTTGGCCGCGGGAGTGGACGTGGAGTTCTCGGTCATGGTGGTGCCCTGCCCGACCGGCCCCCGCTGGGTGGAAGGCGCCTGGCGAAGTTGGCCGCCCCGGTCCGAGGCTGCGCAAAGGAGGCTGCCCGCCCCGGGATCGGCTCGCGGGACCCCGGCTGGCAGGCCAGGTCCGGGCGCGCTGTCGGGGAGCCGCGGCCGCCTCGCCCCGGCGGGGCCGGGCGGGAGGGCCGGCCGCGTTGGCTGTGCGGGGCCTCGCGGTGGGCGCCGGTCCGGGGCTCCGGCCGGGGCTCAGGCTCGTGCTGGGGCTCCGCCTGCGCCGCCTCCCTTTTCCCAGCTCCGCGTCTGGCGCTCGGGCGGCGCATCCGGGTATTTAGCGGCGGCGGGCGGACCGCGGTGAGGACAGGGCTGCTGGCTGCCTGCTCCCGGCCCGGAATGGCGCCGCGCCGCCGCCATCTGTGTTTCTTCCGCTCGGCAAATCCGACCTTTCTCACCAGCCCGGGCCTTCCCGGCCCTCGCCAGCCCCTCGGGCGGCTGCCCGGGTCCCTGGGCTTCCTCGCTGGGCCCCCTGCCGGCCCGGCCGCCGCCCCCCGCGGCCTCCAAGCGCCCCAAACGGCGCAGAGGGCCGCCGGGGCGCCGGGACATTTCCCCTTTGCGGGGGGCTGGCTCTGTCGCGCCGGGGAGCCCCGGGGCGGGGAACCCCTCCTAGTAAAGCTCTCCCCTGGGGCTACCGGGGACCCCCACTCCCGACCTCCTGCGGCGCCCCCCGACCCGTGAGAGCGGCTGAAAAGCGACCCCAACTAACACACGCGGCCCCGAACTGGGCGACTCCCAGCCGGGCCGGAACGGGACAGGGGGAGGGGTCGCTTTCCCGGGGTCCGCCGGCCCCTCGGGGGCCACCCCGCCGCCAGCCCCCCGGCACCCCTGACCCCTCTCTGTCCATGGGGCCCCCCGAGGAAACTTTCCCTGGAAGAGTCGCTCGGGCACTTTCAAACTTCGTCCCTTCCCCCTCCGGGCCGCCTCTGCCCCCGCGCCGCCCCCCGACCTCCGCGTCCCCGCGCCCCCGGAGCGCCAGCCCCGTTCCACGCGGGGCCCCCGAGCGCCGCGGAGGGGCCTCGCGGGCGTCTCCCAGCTGTCCTCACTGGCAGCTCATTTACATGCTCCCCTCAGCCCCAGCGCTTTGGGGGTGCGCGAGGCCGAGCTGCTGCCCCCCACCCCCGGTTCCAGTTCTGGGGGTGCAGCCCCCCCTTCCCAGGGAGGCGGGCTGTGTGCGGTTGGGGGGGGCACTCCACAATGGGAGAATTAGTTGCCCCTCTCTGGGGCCCTGAGTGCTGTAGATACTCAAAAACGGGGTGCTTGAGGGGGAAGACCGAAGACAGGGTCACATTCCGTGGATCCTGAGGAATCCCCAGGGAGCGGGCAGTGGTCAGGGAAGGACCCTGGCCGGGTACCACCGCCATTTTGCTAGGAGATGAGATGTCTTTGTTAGCATGTGAATGTCTTCCCCGGCTGCTAGGTCTCGTACAGACAGCTGGACGAGGGGTGTCAGGGTCTCTAAGGGGTTCTGAGGTGCAGAGGAACTGCAGAGGCTTCAAGGCCAGCCGAAGGGACACCTGAGCCCTGAGCCCCCCTGGTCTGCCAGCCCTTACCTGTATACCAGGTCCCTTGGCAGCCTGGCTGGGCTAGGCTGAGCCTGGGATGCTTAGTCTCGGGACCCCTTCCCCGCCCCCAAACCCTGCCCGGCCCGGATTCACTTAGCAAACAGATCCCACACTCTGTAATTAAACAATACCCTGGGGGGGGGGGATGTTTGTAGCTGGAAGGAATGGTGAACAAATCTCTAAGTAAGGCCAGGGAGCTGTTTGCAATCTCCTCATATCCTGCAGAGAAAGGGGGGTGGGGAAGGCTTAGATTGGTAGGGGCCAGGGACAAGGTTGGGGGTGATGTCCTCTGTAAGATCTGCAGGCCCTGGCCTTCCTACCTCCTGCATAAGTCTCTGCCCAGTACCTGTGTCACCTAAGTAACTGGCACACTTGGAGGTCTCATCCTGGGATTCCCAGTCACACCTTCCATCTGGTGGGGTCCCAGGCCCCAGTGTGGTCACACCTTTCCTCACCTGGCCACACCTTCTCCCCGCCCCCTTCCCTACTTAAACCCAGATCAGCCCTCAGCCCCCCTCCTTTTCAGCCATGTGGTCTCTACCGTGCACCGAGCCAGAGCGGGTAGCAGCTCGGTAAAACACTAAACTTCTCTTCCTGTCTGGATATTGCATGGTGTTGTCTTTATTGGATACCTAATTAAACCTAGTATATTTAATTTACTTTACATATGGTATTTAATTTACCTTACAGCCCCCAGGGCTCCTACTGGTCCTGGGGAGTCTCAGAGGCCTGCGCAAAATTGTGTTCCCCCCCCATCAAGGATGGATTCATCCAAAACAGGGGGGTCGGGAAGCGCTGGTGTCAGACGCCTTCTTCTCTGTAACCCTGGCAGCAAAGGGAGGGAGTAAAAAGGTCAAGGGTTTTCTGTTCTCATGTCGATTATCCAGAAGTTTCCTGACTGAAAAACAGCACTCTGCGGTAGGTTTGTTCTGGTTATGTTCAAGGACAGTTCTCCAGCATCTCACCAAGACCTGGAAAAGGAGAAAATACCCTAATACCCACCCCTTTATGAGACCTTCCCCCAGAGAAGTGTCACCCCACCCCCCCAGAGACCTTCCTCGGAGTAATGTCCCTGCCTTCAGGTCGCTCAGATCCAGGCTGAAGGAATTCAAAGACAATGATGTTGACATTTTTATTGCAGCACCCTCCGGTTTCCTGATCCCTTGCCCCTCCCACCGGCAAGCCAGAGAATGTGATCACCATCGTCACCCACAGTGCCCTCTTGGCAGGGCTTGAAGGAGGGACGGGGGGCACCTTCCACCCCATCCCAGACCTGACATTCTCTTCCAGAACTAAAACTAGAATTGGGGGAGGGTCGCCTTGGGTGGCTTCCAGCTAGGGGACACCCCCCCTTCTCTGCCAGGCAGCAGGATTCACCACCATCACCCCCACACACCTCTTTGAGCGAGCTGGAAAGAAGGGAGGGGGCCTCCAAGAGAAAGGGGCAGAGGTTGAGAGGAATAAGACGAGGAAAGGCTGCCTCCAGACCCTCCTCGCCTTGCCTCTTGGCTCGGGGTCCCCTGACTTGGCCAGGCCCACTGGGCCACCTTGCAGAACCCCGTGGCAAAGAGTGCAGACTGCACGGCCCCGTCCCACCTCCCTTTCACTGGAGGCTCTTTAAAAGCCAGGGAGCCGGGGCTTTGCCAGCAGCTGCTCCTGGGAAATGTAGTTCTCACGTGGAGCCCCGTGCCACCCTAGCCCCAGACCTTCCTGATCCATCTGCCCACCACCACCCTGACTGGGGAGGACCTCAGCTTCTCTGCCTGCCAAACAAGAGCTCTGCCTGCCTCCGGGGTTAGTGTGAGAGGTCGGAACGGGACAGGGCTGTATTCTCACTAATGGGGGAGGGGAGGCTCTGCCCTTATGGAGCCTGTTGACAGACAGGAACCCAGAGAGGCCCAAAGCTGTAACTCCTCAGCAAGGGCCTCTTCCCTTGAAGGCCCTGACCAGATGCCAGCTCTTTGCATTCACTTAATAGACATAGAGCCATGAAACTGCTCAGGCTCGGCTTTTCATTCAAAGCTGGTGTTCTACCACTTGAGCCACAGCTCCACTTCTGGCTTTTTGTTGGTTGATTAGAGATGAGCCTCTCAGATTTGTCTGCCCTGGCTGGCTTTGAATCACAACTCTCGATCTCAGCCCCCTAGAGTAGCCAGGATTATGGGCATGAGTCACCAGACCTGGCCATTTTTATTTTTAGAGACGGAATCTGCCACACAGCTAGCACTAAGGTCCTGTGGCAGGAGTGTGCAGCGTGGTTAAATCAAGAAGGACAAGTGGAAGATATGAGTTTTAAGAGTCAGGCAGCTAGGCTCCCATGGCTCATATTGACCCTGGGCATATCGGATGATCCAGGATAATCTCCCAAATCCAGGCATTTTATTAGCCGCCTTCATTCCCTCTTGCTGCGTAAAGTTTGCACCCTTTCCAGAGATTAGGCTTAGGTGTCTTTGGGCATAGCTGCTTCTCACACCCGCCCTGCCAGCAGTACAGAGATGTGAGCAGATCTTTCCACACCTGTCCAACACCAAGCAGAGCCCAGCTCTGCTCCCTGGATACCAATGATCATCAGGTTCAAAACACCCGAGTTTGCCATGCGCTGATGGCTCATACCTGTCGTCCTAGCTACTCAGGAGGCTGAGATCTGAGGATGGAGGTTCAAAGCCAGCCAGGGCAGGAAAGACCATGAAACATATCTCCAATAAACCATTCAGAAAGCCAGAAGTGGCGCTGTGGCTCAAGTGGTAGAGCACAAGCTTTGAGCTAAAGAGCTGAGGGACGGTGCCCAAGCCCAGAGTTCAAGCCCCATGGCTGACAAAAATAAAAAATAAAAATAAAAAAAGGTGCTGGGAAGGTGGCTCAGTGGTAGAGCGCTTGCCTTGCATGCATGAGGCCCTGGGTTCGATCCCTCAGTACCACATAAGCAGAAAAAGATGGAAGTGGTGCTGTTGCTCAAGTAGTAGTACTAGCTTTGAGCTCAAGAGCTGAGGGACAGCACCCAGGCCCCAGAGTTCAAGCCCCACAACCAACAAAAAACAAAACAAAACAACAACAACAAAAACACCTGACTGGATGCTGTTAGACTTATGGTGCCACAAAATGTTGGCTGCTTTTCAATATATTTTATTTTTCTTTTAGATTGTTATTATAGGGGCTGGGAAGGTGGCTCAGTGTAGAGCGCTTGTCTTGCATGCCTGAGGCCCTGGGTTCGATTCCTCAGCACCACATAAGCAAAAAGAAAAAAGCCGGAAGTGGCGCTGTGGCTCAAGTGGTAGAGCGCTAGCCTTGAGCTGAAGAGCTGAGGGACAGCACCCAGGCCCAGAGTTCAGGCCCCACGACCGGACCCCCCCAAAAAAAAAAGATTGTTATTATAAAGGTGATGTACAGAGGAGTTACACTTAACTCAGGTAAAGAGTACTATTTTGTTGGGCGCTGGTGGCTTATACTTGTAATCCTAGCTACTCAGGAGGCTGAGATCTGAG